GGAGACGGGAAGGTATTCCTTGATAAGCAGCATCCAAGATGATGAGCCGTAAAGCAAAGCCCCTGTGAGGAAGCAGGAGAAGAGGCAGGGAAAGCTTTAGCCATCTGTCTCAACCCAGCCTTGCTCAATGCTCGCCAGAGCAGAGGTCACCACCAACAATAATAACCCTCAAGAAGCCAGACGTATGCTTTCCATTCACCAATAATCTACAAAGCGTCTTAGGGTGAAATCCTGGCTCCTCTGAAGTCAATGGGAGCTTTGCCAACGACTTCAGTGGAGCCAGGTTTTCATCCCAGATAATTTTAAAGCAACCCGCAGGCTTAAAGATAAAACAGCATCCTGGGAGTGGGTGCAGGCAGGAGCGAGCTGAGGAGGGCAGATGGGGCTCTACCAGCTACACTCCTCTGACAAGCTATCAGTCTTGTCACAGGCAATGCCTCCGCAGTCCTGGAGCAGTGTACCAGGACTGACAGTACAGTGGACAAGCAGGTAAGCATCAAACCTTTCAACTGCTGGGGCAAATGGGGTCTCAGACCCAAGTGAGCCACGATGTTCTGACATAAACCCATCTCTATGTGCTCCTCACTGATGAGATAAAGCATGTAAAGTGACTTATATTGTGGTATATCATACAGCATTTTTTTCTCCCCCCTCCTCATCCAGCAGCTCTCACACTGGCCTTGAAGGGTGCCACCTGATGGCACTCATCCGAAACGAGGGGGTTTTCACAGTTGACCAGGTACAATCAATGACTATTCATTTCAGTCACTAGGACCACCCAGCCTCTGCAAGTGCTGGGTTCAGTTAGGCAGTATTTTGTTTTCAGGACTCATAACACCAAGTGTAGGTGCCTCCACAGTGATATAGTGAGGTTGACCATATACAGTTCAGTAGACAGCACATAGGATGCTCAGTCACGATGGCCATGGCAGGAGACAGGCACACAACTAGCAGTGTCAGTGAGGACATTGCAAATTCAACCCCAGATACAGTTCCTTGGCCTTGAGCACTGAAGGGGCATGGTGGCCATGGACAGCTCTTGCGCATGTTTGCTGACAGTCTGGTCTAAGGGAGACCAGGAGGCCCTTCATCCGACAGTGCTGTCACTGAAGCCAACAGATCCTTTTAACACCTCCCCAAGAGAGTCCTCAGCACATGGTGGGCACAGCAGCAACCCCCTTTTGAAGCCGTGCAGTGAGGAACATAGGATCTGTGGGGCTTGAGAGAGGCAGAACATCAGATGTTGAGCTACAGCAGCTTACTGACTTCAGCCGAGCTACACTACCTGACCATGCTGTATCACAAATGCTGTATCACAAACCCTCTTCTGAAGAGCTTGGGCTCAATATATTTCCTCTGGCACTGGTGAGGGGCGGGGAATTCACACATGCTAAGTCTGCCTTTATCACTGAAGGGAAGAGAAATAAGAGGTAAAAGCTGAGGTGTGAGCTGTGAAACTTCACAGGAAAGGAGCTATGAAAGGAGCTCACCTCCCTTACTGCAGCACCACCATCAGACCCACTTACTGATTTACCGCATCCCTGGAGCAACATCCCCCTCAGCTTACCCATCGATATTCTCCCCCAGGCAAACCCTCACTTCACTTTCCAGGGACTAGACGGCAGCTGCTAGAGCCAGCTTTCCCTCTGCTTTTAAGTCTATCTTCCCTACAGGTTGCACTTCAGTCATCTGGACTCATCGATGAAGTCATCTGATTTAACAGCGTTTGTGCAGATTCCAATTGGCATCTACAGCTCACAGTGCGCTCCCTGCTCCCCAGCTGCCTGCCCGCAGCCACGCAGGCATCCCAGTACCCAAGTGCTGGTTCTATGCCAACATTTTCAAGTGGGAAGAGGCCTTGGTTTCTTGCTGCCACTCGCTCACTGCCAGTAGTAGCATTGCTCCATCCCTCACTGTCTTTCCACGGCACTTTAATGCACAAAACCGAATGTCCCATGAGGAAACACGCACCAGCAAAGGCCCATCTCATCTGGATTAAAGATGTCTCTTGGTTCAGTCTCTTTCATAAGGCGAGGGAGAACTTACATTACCCAGAGCTCGGCGGCAGATCCATGTGTGTGTTTTTCACCAGGCTGTCACTCGGACTGTTTCGCATTACGAGCCTTCAGTCTCGCTCTGGTTGTCAATTTGTGCTATTAAGCTCTGAAATACAGAACTCACGTGCCAAGTTTCCACTTTTCCTCAACAGCCGGGATCCACTGACAGCCACCAGCCTGGGTCAGACACTGGCAGACCCTGGGGGACAGTTCTCCTGCCTCTTCACTGCCCATCCACCTCTCTCTTTAACCTCCCCACTCGGTCCTGCTGCGGCTGGGTGCAGAGCCCAGGCTGAGCAATGACAGCCGAAGCACATCAGTGTTTTTATCTTCTCAATATTTTGATTAGTCCAAGGAATGTTTGGGTTAAAAAAAAAACAGCCCACCACATTTTTTAAAGCCCACGTGACAGTCCCACAGGCTGTGATGGCTTCATGTGATATCGAATAGCTCTGTGTGATTTGCTGCATAACCAAGAGCATCGCTGCGGGATTGGGTATTTATCAATGAGTTATAAATGGTTATAAACCTGGTGGAGGGGTTGTACCTCGCTGTAATGCACTCAGGGCAGCCCCTACCCTGCAGAGTCATCTGTGCCCATCACTCCTACTGCAGTGCTTACACAACATGTTTGTGGATGAAAACTCCTTAAATCCGAAGGGTTTGGGGTTGTGGCTTTTGGTTACATCTTGAGTGATACTCCAGTGCAATTATTTTACCCATGCTCCTGCCTGATGGTTAATCACTTTCAGTGGTTATCACTGGAAGGAAACCTGACTGGAAGGGTACGAGACATCATTCTGAGCCATTTGTGACCACACACTTCAGACACAACAAGACCTGCAAGAAACCTCCCATGAGCTCCAATTCTGCTCATGTCCCAACTCTTCCAGCGTCCCACATCAGGAACACTGCAGGCAGAGGATCCCATGATGTGCCTTGGGACCTGCTGGCACCGCATGCTAGAAGCACATCTCACCTTTACATCACAGGAACCCTGCTGAGGACATTGACCTTAGACTGAACATGTTCTGGATAGGGAACACTTCTTTTTCACCAATTGCCCACTCAGACATTTTGATGTCCCAGCTGTCACTGAGCATTCATATCCTCACTTTTACACGTAACATTCCCAATTGTGGAAGAACAACTCCAGAACTCCCATTTTCTGTTAGGTGACTTTATTTGTGTTTCAAGTTCATTTATTTGAGCTGTGTCCTTGTTACACTAAGCTGCATCTTCAGCCACCAAAAAAAGTTTTGGCTCCATCAGACTGAATGCAAAGACACTGATTTACAGCAAGCGATAATTCAACCCTCATTTCCAAATTCACGTTCATTTTCAGTTTGGGGGCCTCCCACACGAGAGGAAGGTTTTTTCCATTGCACTTATGCAGTCAGCAACCAAGAGGAAGGGAAACAACGGTGAGGAGCATGAACCCCCAGCAGCCCAAGTCCTCCTGTGCCGGGAATGCACAGACCAGCCGGAGGGCACAGGACACTTCAGCACAGCTCCGTCCCTGGGGAGCAGCGGTGGAAGGCACCGCGCAAGGTGCAGCCGTGAAGCGGGACGGGTGCGGGTGCCTCGGCAGCGTGCCCTGGCTGGCTGCACTGGGTAACCAGGGCTTGCGGAGGGGCAGGTCGGCACAAGGAGGAGGGGAGCGGGGGGGGGGGAAACGAGGCTGCAGTAGGAGCTGCAGAGAGGGAGAAGGGAAAGGGGGGGAGCGGGGAATGGGGGAAGGACAGCAGGGGAGGGAGGCAGGGCAGTATAAAAGCATCCAACACGCACCTCTCCCGACATAAGTGCGAGAGGGCGAGAAAGTTGGGTCTGGAAGCAGCAGCAGCAGCAGCAGGAGCCAGGAGGAGAGCCAGTCGCTTGCAAACACGCACGCACGGTGGCAGGAGAGAGCGCGGAGCTGCCCCTGCCAGCCCTAGGGCCACTGAAGGGAAGAGAGAGAGATGGAGCCAGGTATCCAGCTCCCAGGGAGGGCAGGCAGCTGAGGCTTTTCGCAGCCCCTCGCCCTCCGTCCTCACCCATTTTCCACGGGGGGTAGAGAGGAGGAGGAGGAAGGGGAGCAGGGGGGCAGCAGCGCTCTGCCCCCTGGAGCCACAGCCGCCTCGTCGAGAGCTGGGAGCGGGCGGGGGGTCGCGGCGCAGCCCCGCTCCCTCACACCCCGAACGCGAGGGGACGGGCCGGGGCCCGGCGGGGCGGCCAAGGCAGGGCAGGGCGACGCCTCGACGGGAGCCCTGAGGGGGGGGCCGCGGGGCGGGCGAGGACACGGCAGAGGGGGGAAGCTGGTCCAGGGGCCACCCCCATCCCCTTGCGAGGAGGGAGGCGATAGCCCCAAGCTCTCTCCTCCCCTCGGAGCGTCCCGGCTTCCCCGCCATGTGAGAGTCGTCCCCAGCTCCCCCCCCCCCCTCCCGCCTTTCCCTCCCTCCTCCCTCTCACTCACAGAACACGCTCCCGGCGGCTCCCCCCCCGTGCTCACAGCGTCTCCCCGCCGGCAGCCGAGCCCCGCTGCTCTCCGCCGGCCCGCGGCTCCCCGAGGCTGCGGGGGCTCGGCCCGCTCCTTCCCTCCGACGGTGCCTCTGGGTTGCAGGGCTGCCCGCAGAGACGCCGCCGGCCCGCGGCCCCGTCGCGGCTACCTGCCGCCCCCCGCCGCAGCCGGGCAGCGCCGCGATATTCGCCGCCGCCGCCGCGGCGTCCCGCCCCGACGTGGCTCCGCCGTGGTGTGCCGGCCCCCGCTGCTGTTGCTGCTGCTGCCGCCGCTGCCCCGCGCCCGCCGCCCGCCCCGCCGACGCCGAGAGCGGCGCGGCCTCCGCCGCCCGTCCTGCGGCTGCCGCGGCCGGCGCTGGGGCTGCGGCTGGGGCCGGGGCCGCTCCGGCGGCGGCGGCAGCGGCCCCGGCGGCGGCGGCCGCCGCGGCTCCTCCTCCTCCTCCGCCTCCTCCACGGCCGCCGCCGCCGCGGGGCCCTAAAGCCGCCCGGCTCAAGAGGATGGTGCGGCTGGCGGCCGAGCTGCTGCTGCTGCTGGGGCTCCTCCTGCTCACCCTGCACATCACCGTGCTGCGCGGCGGCGGCGGCGACCCCCACGGCCCCCCGGGCGCCGGCAACCACAGCCAGCGGCAGGTGAGTGCCGACAGCCGAGCCGCGCCCCCGGGGCGGGACGGGGCAGGACGGGGGTGATGGAGCCGGCACCTGCCAAGGCCTCCCCCGAGCCCCAGGCTCCCGCAGGCGCTGCCGCAGGTACGGAGCCGTCCGAGGGCTTGCCTTGTGTGTCACTTCGGGGAGCCTTTATCCCCTCTTCCAGGGGACTGAGGTGGGAAAAGGCAGCGTTCTGACGCCGTGTTGGAGGTGTGAGGGCGGCTCCCAGGCGGGTCGCTGGTGCTGCGCGGGCGGGTGGCGGTGAATGGTGGACATCTCATCTGGGGAGCGCGAATGAGGGCAGGCCGGGCTGTGTCAGGCACGGCATTCCCTACCCTTGGGAGGATGCGGTATTCCCTAAGGCGAGAGGGGACCAAATAGGTGTGTGGTGCAAAATACGGGACAAAATGAATGGCTTTCCATGGGAAGCGTCAGGAGACAGCAGATGCTCAATAGCCATGAACTGTAGGGTGATAGGTAGCCATGAATGACAGGGCTTGTGACCCAGCCAGTCTGATCCCATTGAATTATGTCCAGCAGAGGTAAAGGGATTTTTTTGTTAGTTCCCTTCTATTTGCAGGTGGTTCTTTTTTATTCAGTGTCATATGTTGCCATTCATTTCAAATGTTTGGAGACGGTTAAAAGCTGCAGAGTCATCAAAATTCCCAGGCAAAGCTTGTGAATCTCTGGTCAGTTGCGTGGGCCCTGACCAACTTTTTTTCACTGTATCCAATTTAAGAGAATTTAACAGCCAAATCATGCAAAGAACTGAAAGAAAATGCATAATAATTATCACCATAAATTAATGTAAACCGCTTTATCATCTCAGACAGAACCAGAGTACCAGCAGAGCACGTTTCTATAGAGCATGAGGGAAAATGAGGAGAATGTGGGCTGAAATGATCACCTTGTTTGCATGGGACCTGCTGCTGGTGGTCCACAAAGTGAAACCACTGGCAACAGGATGGAACCCGGATCTGTGGGCTCAACATCCCAGTCAGTCACAGGCTGGAATCGGGTACTCTGAACTCAGAAAACCTCCTGTTGAAGATGTCCATGCTCATTGCAGGGTTTGGACTAGGTGACCTTTGAAAGTCCCTTCCAACCCAGACTGTTCCATGATTCTATTAACTTGGTGGGAGTCCTGCTTGGAAGTGCTCCACCGTATGCTTTGGGTAAGGCCCCACGATGCTCTTTCTCTTTGAGCTGGAGTTTTATCATTGGCTTGACATTCCAGGATGGTTTTTTTAATATCTTCAAGATTTCTGGTAATAGTGTTTTATAAATGATGCTTTCTTTCCTCATGGGCACTTGAAATGCCTTTTAAAATGATGTTCCTTGGAAAAGTAAATTTGGAGAGGTTTTTTATGAGGTGTTTGCTATCATTAGAATAACCCTGAACTTGCCTTTTCTTGACAGGCTTGTAACATAATGAGGGAAACATCTGGGCAAGTGGGAACTCTGGGTGATGCCATTTCCCTGAGGAGCTCTTTTTAGAGCGCTATTGTAAGGTTAGGGTGAAGCAAGAGGAAAATCATCTTCAGATAATTATCCTCTAGTATCATCATTGCAGTTGGCAGCCCCGTGAAAATCTGTTGATTGTTGACTTCAAGGCTTTTTCCTGTCCATTTATTCTCTTTACGGATAACTTAATAAACTTCTCTGTCTTTAAGCATCCTGATAGCTTTAGCAGTTACTATTTTCATCGTGTTTGGCCATTTGTAGAATTGAAATTTTTATATACTTCCCAACTGAATTGATTCTGCAGTTATGTATTTGAGAGAGTGTGTCTGTACAAGACATTATGGGAGGAGAGTATATTGATTAGGGCAATCAGTTAAACAGATGGAAGTCTATCAGTTTTGGGGGGTTATAGCTTTAATGGACTATGTTGCTGGTTGGAAAACGCTGTAACCTGCGTTGTACTCTGACAGGCAGATGCTTCCATTCAGAGCATCACAACACAGAGCTGGATGGCAAGTTTGCACTGGGATCTTCAGATTTTGGCATTTCTTTGGCTGTTATTGTGGCACGTGCAAAATCGTAGTGCAGTGCATTCCCAGGTAAAGAATCCATGTGGAAAGCAAAACAGCACAAACCAAACCTTTTTCATATGAGCAAATAGAAATCTCTCAGGTTGCTATCACTTAAGCATTGTTTTCTCTGTCTCGGTACGTCTACAGAGAGAAAAGGCTGTGAGAAGTGATTCAGTGTTTCACTGAGATGAATTCCATTTGACCAAGTGTGTTACAAACGTTGTGGCAAGTCCAGGAAAGAGCAATTTCTGCAGCAACTGTTCATGGATGTATTTTGACAAGGCAAATTTGTATGAAAACAAACTGGCTATTAGCAAACATAGGGTGTGGTGTTTTACAGCTGAGGTGGTCTGTTTGCACTAACAAAGTGCTCAGAATTTGGTTCTGTGTGCCTGAAAGAACCTCAAATGTTAGTCTTAACTTGGGAGAAAAGAAGGCAAAACCCAAAAACCATCCCCAGCCCCCCAGAATTGCACATCCTTGAACCGTAGCGGGTTCAGGAGGAAGCATCAGTAATCTTAAAATACTGTTGGAGATTTAAATAGTAAAGTAGAGGCTTGTTTGTATCTGAAGTCTGATTCATTAACGGAGGAGAAGCTTCTCTTTCTGCCATCCCTTCAAATGAAGAAAGGATTTTAGAGGATAGGTCTTGATTTCTTTTGGCCTTTCGGTTATGTTAACCCCTGCAATGGATTAAGATGATAGATGAAATAATCCAGAAAAAAGTACCATCCTAGATTAAACAAACAAGTTATTTCTTCCTCCTTCTGGGAGATGTCTGGAGCCCGTGGTGTGCTGCTGTGCCTGCCTTAATGGTGCAGCAGAGAGGAGAAAATCCTGAGGGACTCTTTTGGTCCTCGCTGGGATGGGTGAGATACAGGGACAGGCTTCCTTGGTTCACAGCTGTAGAAACAGGCACTGGACTTCTGCATTGCTGCAGTTTCATGCTGCTGTTAGAACTGATTTGTGGTAGCGTAAACTTATGCAAAAAGGGAAATCCAGATTGGAGTTGTAAAACATCTCATAGTTTTGAGTTGTGAGAGGGAGTCAGCTTTTTGTTTCTCAATCTGATTTCATTCCCTCCTTCCATCTCCACCAAAGAAAAAAAGGGAGAATTGGGGAAGGGGGGAGATTGCGTGGTTGTTTTTATTTTTCTGGTGAGATCCCTATTAGGTCTAATTGAATTAGCATCCATTATGCATCATATTTATGAAATAAATCAGTGCAAGCTTTTGCTTCTGAATAAAACAAATGAAACTATAGTAAGAGATGGGAAGATGCTGCTTGGGCATGATTTTATCTTTTTACATAGCTCTAAAAAGAAGGAAAGTCTTGAACATAAATTTTGGAAGATGTTTGTAATACTTCACGATGCTCTAAACTCCGTGCTTTCCTTCTGACAGAAAATATTTCATCGAGAAGTTTATTCCCATCACTTCTAATTTTTCCATAGCAGGCCTTGCACACCAAGAAAAACAGTGTTCCCACACCAAGAAAAATGACCTTGTAAAATGTAGTAACAGAGCCACCAACTATATATGCCATAGCACATGAAGTCAGATTCTCCACTGCGGTGCTTGCAGCAGTGTTACATTAGCATGAAACTCGGTAGTTGTACATAAAGCTGGGGCCGTATAAGAGAGAAAGAAGCACAATGCCGTAAACAGCTTTTTACTTTTAATCCTCTTGCTCCTGTCCTTGTCCCCCTCCTCAATCTGCATGCAAGCAATTACAGCATGTCAGAGATGTTCTCTGAGTCCTACCAGAACACATTCAACTGCTTGTGAATGGTTGCATGACAGTCGCTTTCCAAGCCGTGCGAGGAGTCTTTACAGGGCTGAGCTGTTCATTTTCTCCTAGGAGCCAGATCTGACTGTACTGTTGCTTACCTTTGGGGGATGTTTCAGTCTTTTAAGGTTTCAGCACTGCTGCTGCCCCTTCTACTGGGTTCAGGCAAATTACAACATGCTCTCTAGCCAGATGCAGCAGCGTGTTTCGGCTTTCAGGCTTTCTCTGTTTAAGCAGGTCTCAAGTTGTTTACTTTGGGAGAGTTTTAGACTGAGTTTTTTCAAGCTTATTTGAGCTCTGGAGCTTTACATTAGGTTCGTTCTCATAAGAATTGGTCATCTAAGTCACCTTTGAAAAGCTGTAGATTCAGCCTTTCGCATCCATGTTTCCCAAGGCTGTCCTTTTAGCCTACATAAGATGCCAGCAAGTGGGTGTACACCCTGTATTTAATACAAGCACTAAGTCCTTCTGTGCCTTACGAGCAGTTTGTACATTACACAACTTTCAGAGCAGGTGGCTTGTGAATGAAGCAGCTGGTTCTCTGACAATCAGTGAGATTGTTACTCACCACAGAAGACGCCGTTTCGTGCTTTTTGACAGGGATAGTAAAACCTCCCTGTTCTCAGCAGGCTTCGCTGTATAGGCTCTTAGCTGCAGCTCGCCCGTACCATTAGCACATGTTCTTGCAGTTATGCACTGAGCTTTGCGAATGGCTTAGACCATGTGCAGTTCATTCTCTCATCTCCCAGGGGAGAGAATTATGTGTGCTCTTTAGTGGTTTTGCTAGTGGGCTGTGGCTTGTTCCAGGATCTAGGGGGAAGGAAGGGTGATTAGCTTTACGTGTGCTGCTGCTGCTGCGGCGTGCATGGAAGCAGAGGGTAGGACGGGAAAGAAGGGTGAAGGATTCAGACTGCTGCTCTGAGCAGAGGGCTGTCTGCTGTTGTCACTTGCTCCCAGGAGAGATTCTTCTACCTTCCACACCTGGTTCCAGGAAACCCCCAGAAAGCATTAAGCTTTTCCTCATACCTATCACTTTAATTCATTTCCTAGCAAACTAAATCATCCCTAGTGGAAAAGAGCTACCACGCTTTCAGGGTAGGATGTATCAAGCTTTTAGTATCTCAGACTACTGCAGTAATTTAGAACATAGATCCAGGAATA